TTTTCTTAATATCGACTTTTTTATTTTTCAGATAAATTCAGTGTAGGTGCATCTTAGATAAATAAATAATTTTACATAACAAGTTATCTTAAAGACCATAGACATGGATTAACGAGAGAGGGAAAGAGCAATTTCTATGCCTCTGCCTTAACTCTCCCTGCCTTCCTAGATCCGACCAGTGTTTTGGTTTCATCCACATACGCTTGTGAATCTTTGTTCTCAGTGATGAATTTTGTTAAGTCTCGTAATAGGAGTAGCCTGACGGATGAAAGTAGTAGCTCGTGCATATCTCAAGGTCACAAAATATAAACCTGATGTAAAATCTCTGTCATCAGTGATGCAGCAGCAAAAGTCCCACTGATAATATCAAACGGAGTCCAAGTTTTCTGTCGGACTATCAGTGTACATGTATACATTAAAAAATAAATGTATCTTTCTTTCATCATCATATGCTGTGTTTTTGTCGCTCGGATGAATTTTATTATTTCTTCAAGGTTCTTCACATACATACACCTTAAGAGATATCAAGTAGGCGTAACATGTTCTCAAAAAATTAGGGTTGGCACGCAGAAGAATTTTGAGTCAGAGATTTTGCTGGTTTTGGCACGCACTCACAAAAAGGTTGCCCACCCCTGTTCTAAGGTCATTTGTAAAGTGATGATACATAAAAGTTTGTGTGAGGATTAAAACTTAATGTATATAAAGTGTTTAATACTGAGCCTGGCACATTAGAAGCAATAAGCAGTAGGTGTCTTCATCCTACTAAAGTTGAGAATTTAATGATATAGAAGAATGGATTACTAAAAAAAAGTTATGTTTTAGGAGTCCAGTTTTGCTGAAAAATTTCATCTATACACATTAGATTAACCAACAGGATAGAAACCAAGGGGTTGAGTAATGAAATTACATGGTATTTTCTTCTGTCTCCATTTTCCTTTTTTAAAAAACAGAATGTTTTGGTATCAAGAAGACATGCTGGGGAAATGATCAGTAAAAGTTTTCAGTACTCTCAAAGCCAAGGGGATGGTAATTGGGAGAAGCAAGAGAACTAAAAGAATGGGTAAAACGTTAGTGTTGATTTGGAAAATGGGCAGTTAAAGTCGGATTTATGGGCATTCCCCGAAGATATTGCCAGTTCGATTCCAGACCACTGCAATAAAGCAAGTATTACAGTAAAGGGAGTCGTAATCTTTTTTATTATGGTTGAGGGTTTTGCCTTCAATTTGTAAAAAACACTATATTTGTGAAGTTCAATAAAAAAGAGGATGCCTGTAATTAGTTAGGAACCAAGACCAGAGGAGTGGTTTGATGAAATCTTTGCTTGTTAAAAGGAAAGCATGAGGCTGAGAGCACCTACCCTTAGAGGAAAGCTGTGTGAAATATTTTCATATATTGCCCTCGGAGGGCCTCCTGATGTTGGCCCATACTAAGTGCTTGGCATTCCTTTTATTACTTGAGTTCTTAAATCCTTTAGGTTCATCTCTTCTTTCATCTTTCCTCTCCTACTCCATTCGATAAAATGTCATTGCAGTTTGAAAAAAATTGGTCAAAATAATGCAAGTTCTACATAACCTATTCTATATAACAAAGATGTAATATGCAAATGGTCATTATGCCATGAAGCG